AAACCTCACCAAAAAGAGATACCTTAGTCGACATATTTAGCCATTAGCACAGAAGCATTGAAGTCCATGATGAAAAGACGTGACATATTGCCATCAGCTTTTTCTTACGGTTCCTTTCCTTCAATCAGAACTCGCCAGTCAGAACACCCGGAAGATGGGAAACGCCATTTGTACAGAACAGACAGTACTTCATTGGATAGTACGGACATCTATCCATTCCGAAAACACGAAAGTTCGAACACAATGAATTCAAGGCCCCCCGTTACCCTTTCCTTTCACAGAAAATCAGAACTCGCCAGTCCAAACACCCGCAAGTTGGAAAGCATCATTTATAAAGAACAGACAGTATGAAAAGATGAAAGTTGTCGAGATAATAATTCAAAATCAATTACGTGACATCTCCAGGAGACCGTCAAGTTAATTCAGATCAAAGCTATGAGAATGTCATATAATTTGGCCATATTGAAATAAATATGCTTCATTGGAGAGAGAAACTAATCTCCGGGAACACCTGCATTTGTAGACTGTTTTTTCTAGAGGTGATTGACGTAGAGAGGCAGACTGGTTGTAATTGCAGCTGCATGGCTGCTCGGTATGGCTCAGGTCAAATCCAACTTTTCTGTAGAATAGCATTGTTTCACTATTTCTACCGACAGTGAGTAAGTGAGTTGAGTTTTACGCCTCACTCAGCAATATTCCAGGTATATGGCGGTGTTCTGTAAATAATCGAGTCTGGACCAGACAATTCAGTGATCAACAGCATGAGTATCGATTTGCGCAATCGGGAACCGATGACACGTGTCAACCAAGCCAGCGAGCCTGACCACTCGATCCCGTTAGTCGCCTCTTACGACAAGCACGGGTTACTGAAGGCTCATTCCAACCCGGACCTTCACGGGTCATCTCCCGACTGAACAATGGATTGAACACACATCTATCCATTCCGAAAACTCGAAATTTCGGACACATAATCATTTCGTGGCATCCCGTTACCCTTGCCTTCCGCAGACAATGGAAAATACATACGGTGAGTGAGTGAGGTTAGTTTTACGTCGCATTCAGCATTATTCCAGCAATATGGCGAAAAATACATACGGGAATCAAGGCGTAAACATGGAACATATGTACAGAGAAAGGCCCTGATATATTAAAAGTGAGTGAGTTAGATTAGTTTTACGTCGCATTCAGCATTATTCCAGCAATATGGCGAAAAATACATACGGGAATCAAGGCGTAAACATGGAACATATGTACAGAGAAAGGCCCTGATATATTTAAAATATGTTAGAAATGATCACACTTGACATCCCTACAGTTTTGATCATCAATAAAAAGGACGGTCGACGCAACCAACATACACTGGTGAATATGATATACCTTTTCATTTGCTCCCAATCTCGGCGAACCAATCAATGACCAGTCAAAAGCTTATGCAAGTTTTGGGGATGTCTGATTATTGTATTATTTAAATGATCATTTAAAAGTATTGAAACGGGAATAAAAAATAAACGGATTAACTATGTTATTGAAAGACGAGACTGGGTGTTATTTCCCTGTAGCTATTCCCATTACTGAAATTAAACTGGACGCTATGAAAATATAGCAATAGGAAACATAATGCCCCGTTTAGCCCGAGGTATGTGTAATTTAAGAAATCAGCAAAACCTTGTTAATCAGATTTTCCCATAAGAAGGGAAATTTAACTTTGTTGATTTAAAAAACTGCATGTTTCAGACTTTCAACCAAATTGACTGCTAAAGTGTATCAGCATCGCTGCAATGTAGAGTGAGTGAGTGGTGAGTGAGTTAATATTTATCGTCACATCGGCAATATTTCAGCCATATCGTGACGAGAACAGTTTATAATTATATTATAGATCAATAAAGTAGGTGCAATGTAGAGTTTCACGAAGACATTTCTAATATTAAATCAGCAAATATTTTCATTAATGATGTTTATAAATCAGTACCATTACTTTGTGTAAATCTGGTTCTCGTTTGTACTCTTGTTCAATCTCCGATTTTGAGAAATTGCATTTTCATTGGGGAAATGGTGATCTCAGGCTGTGCGATTTGTTTGGGCAGATCCGTCGTAGGTTCAGTGATTAGAAAACATGGTTATCGTATTTATTATACCTGTGTGGAAACGGAAATGTATTCCGTTTGAAAACACTTTAGCCCATGGGATTCCGGCTAAAACAGTCTGCCTGTTCTTGTGAATCGACTATACTTGGACGAGGATTTCAACTGGCTGTTCGAAAGTCATCGTATTCCGGCAATGTTTATTGTCGTTCATGCGCGCACTGGTTTGCCAGTATAAAACTATGAGATGTGCATATTTCCATTGGATACCTCGACTGTTGCTGACTGACGTCCACCAGTGCAGTCATTCTCTCAAGTCATATCTTCCCACGTCACCTCTGTTCTAATACGGCCATTTCATGGTGCGAGTGTTCAGGATTCGTGATTGGTTGCAATCAGATTTAGTTGTGTAATCAGCGACGTTGTTTCAAAAGTGATCATTCGCAAAGCCTCGGTAATTTCCGCATGCTTCGGGAAAGCTGGAACCTCTTCCGCGGCGCGATGCGCAAACGTTTTTTCTAGACAGGACTCAGTCATGTAATGACGGATCAGTGGCGTCTCCATCGCACTCGTTGACAACGGACAAACCAGCCAGTAAATGTCTTGTGTCACATCAACATAAGTCATCGACAGAGGAGGGATATTTGTGGCCCCACTTGCTATTGATAGTTTCTGATTTTCAGTTAAACATGAAATGCCGAATCTATCCTTCGCATATTGATCAACTGACTCCATGGCGGCCGCCATATTGGATCTAAGTCGAAGTAAAACGTGTTCTGATTGGATAGAAAGAAGAGAGATAATTCGTGGTGCGATTTTTTGCCGCCAGGGGATTTTACGAGACCCGGGAAATACGGCCGTATTAGAACAGAGGTTATGTGGGAAGGTATGACTTGAGTAACCTCTGTGGGAAGAGAATGCAGTGCAGTGGGATGTTACACAACGACTCTCCTGCGCCGTGCTATTGTCGAATCACAGATTCGTTCCCTTTGTGGGATCACGAGTGACCCAGTCATCTTAAGCGAAGCAGTTCCCGGGGGGTAGTTTATTCGCTTCAAACAATCAGACAACTTGATCAGGTGGGTTCGAATCCTTGTTCAACTTGAAGCATGTCCAACCAGTAATTAAAACTGACCACAATTTTAAGTATTCAGTGCTGTGATTTTTCATCACCATGACTTATGCTTATTGTGTGTACAGATATTTTCCAGTAGGTGACATTTGGTGCGGATCTGGGGGTTGATGTGTTCCGCTTCCTGTGCTCGCAAAACAGAGCCGGACAAGTTGGCCAGATAGTGTGTTTTATGGTAGTTTAAAGGCCAGAGTGTACCCATGTGCACATGGAATGGCTGTTGATAGCCTGGATTATTTTTAAAAATATAAGGCTACTATAGAAGTCTATGGGAAAACATTTGGTGTTGTGTGTAAACCTGTAGGGTTCGAGCACTTTTCAGTAATTCATACTTTACATGATTTCCTGTGTTTATTTCACCATGGAAACATGTTAGCATTAATGTAGAGGCAAATTTAAAGGTACTGGGAGTAAAGATAGGGCTGTTTTGAGTGGAATAGATTGTTTTAGTGTCCAGAATATGAACGTTGCTTCGTTTTGTGGTCGAACAGTGGGGAAAAGACCCTCACGGTGAGTCTCTACCATCAAGTAGTGGTTCCCTGGCTTCTAAATTTGTTGGAACTGATGAATTTGACAACAAATTAGGTTAAAATCACCACTACCACAACAATGTGAGTGTCTAAGTTAATCTACTGAGGGTCAATTTGAAGTCAAATGATAAGAATATCATGAAATTTGTTCACTGCTGACAGCAGAACATGTCACAAACCCTTGTTTTAAATGCAAACAGTGTAGCATATGATCAATTCTTTCTGCCTGTCCCCTTTTGAATATGCAACGACCTAATTTTCTTTTTCCTTTTTAAAAATATACCCCTTTTTCACCCATAGGACTTTCAAAATGAATTTCTGTTTTATTAACAACTGTCTCATTGCTGTTATAGATTTTATGATTTGACATTTAATGTAATCTCAACACTATTTTCAGCTTGTAGAATGCCTGTTGGTGAAGAATGGGGAGGTGTATCTTCACAAATACAGCAGAAAAGAAGCCTTCACATCCAATGTGGTATTTCGACATGCCGGCCGAAGTCTGTTGTTGGCAGTGTCTAATCAAGCATACTCCCTTTGCTTCGATATGCTTCACCGCCTTGTAGAAGTCTTGGTTTTGGTTTTTCAGAACCATGACCGTTCTCATGGATTTAATCAACGTGATGAAGACTTGTATCATTTTCTCCCAAATGAAGCTGACGCTCCGTCATAGTAATTGTAACACTATACCCAAACAGATTGTGTTGTGTTTGTTTATTTGTTTAACGTTACACTCAGCAATATTCCAGCTATATGGCGGCGGTCTGTAAATAAACGAGCCTGGACCAGACAATCCAGAGATCGACAGCATGAGCATCGATCTACGCAGTTGAGTTACGATGACATGTGTCAAACAGATTATGATTCTGACCAGGCAGTAACAGACCTGCTTCCCTCAAGGTACACTTGGGTCTAAATCAGTGCAGTCTATGATGATGTAATGGTAGGGTTATGTTTTAGTAGAAATCAGGCTTGTTTTAGGGAGGGGACAGGTTAGGCATAGGCTGGGCTAAAAATAACACACTAGGCTTAGCCTTCAGTGGGCTGGTTCATTTAGCTCTTGAGGGGTAAGGACCCGCTAGGCAAGTACCTAGTATGCTTCTTCCCCATTGTTATGCAATGGGATGGGCCAGTGCATGCGCATCTCATGAGCAGAGGGATCTTGTGTTTGGTTGTCATTATGACTTTAAACCCCTGAATCCTGCGGACCTCAGGACCGGAAACAGCATCCTCCTGTTGCAATGAATAACAAAAGGATTTTTAAAACTATTGTCGTTTATTATCACTTGCACAAACATTGAACAACAATATTAACAAACACAATGTGATTTGATAAAACTATATATGATCATGTAGATGTATAACAAGCTTTCCAATGGCAGGTATTCCAATGTATGACAAACCTTGCTACAAATAATATAAAAGTAATATCCTTATTTACATACACCCTCTTGATTCTCTTTATTTCTTGCCACGCACTGGTCCCAGCTTAAAGGCACAATATCGATGACGTCAGCAGTCTTCGTGTACCGGAACACACCAAATGCAGCGTACTTCACAATCACAGTTCATTCATCGTAAAACATCCTGTGTACTATGACAGGCCGAGATGTCATTTGGCGTCAATTTAATACACTTCAGTGTCTCAAATCACAAATCGTGCCCAATCAAAACAAATATATTTCCAAAAACATTTGAAACTACACAACATTTCAGTGATACAAGCATTAGACTGTGCAGAACAAGATTGATCTAAACTGAGATAAAATTCGCCAGTGTCTTGTAATAGACAAAATCCCTTAAAGTCAACGTACAATCATCTAAATTAAGGTTAATATAAATGTGATCGTTGTCCGAATTCAGTCAAAATACAACGAAAAACATTCTATTTTCCTTCCAACTAAACCCACACTGGGACACTCGTGTAAAGAGCCCAAGTTCCCAATACATCCCAATTACCAGTTGTAATGAGAATCGAATGTTCTCTTTTGTGACCTAAGCTGATTACAGGTCATCGGCGGCGTCGTTTCGTATGTCATCGACCCCGTTGTGTCGTACGTCATCGACGTCTTGGTTTCGTATGCAATCAACCACTGGTTCAGATTTCTTATTTTAAGCCCGGATTATAGACCGCGGCTTTAAAAAACATCCAGGACAGAGAAGATCACTACGTACAATCAATCAGGATTTTGCTTAATGATTATCCCCACACACTGTGATGGCAGTGCAACATAGACGTTGTTCACGACCGCTATCGTGTACAATTGAAGACCCCAGTTCAATCATGTGCTCCAACCTACCACCTCTGTGTCTGTTACCATAATCAGACAAAACTCACTCTTTCCTGCAGTTCTTCTGATGAATAGACGACTTCTCTATTTTAAGCCTGTGGTGAAATAAAGCAAAACCATTCATCTTGTTTACGCATTCAGTTTAACTTTGTGTTCTCGTTCTGTCAATAACACAAGCGCCAACATTATGGGATATTTTCAATATATGGCAATTTAATTCCAATCGTTATCGATGTGTGTAACGCAGAAGAAAACCTGTCTAACGCATACAGATGTTTCTTCTGGAAAGACTGATTTTCAAGTACAAGTTAGTCAAGAGCACCAACCAACCCAGCGGAGAACGTCTTTCTCGGAGCTGAACAATCACATGGGTGCTGACTTCCACTGTTAGTAATCGAAAAGATTAACTGATGTTTGTACAAAATGCTTGTCACTCGTAATAATTGTAGATTATACATTTTTCAACATTAACGTTCAGATTGCAAGTTCCATTGTGTTACAGCACATTTAGTCCAACCATGTAGGATTGTGAGACAATTGATGAGTGCGATGACGCACCATCGTTGTTATGAACAAGGTTATTTCAAACATAACGAGAAAGACCTACATATCCTGTTACAGGTGGTTTCTGTGGTTTCCTTCTATGGTTTCTAAGAATTAAGTGATCTTCAGGATTCCAATACTCAGCACTGGGTAGCGTCACTCATCTGCAGCAGAATACAGTGTTGCCGAGTGCTCTGACTCTCTCTCCAGACATATCCTCTTGGTCCAGCATGACCCAAAGCAAATCTTCCAACTGCGGCACCAACGGAGACTCGTGGCCCAAAATGACCTAAATATGACCAGATCTAGATGGTATTTCACATTGACCTAAAGTGGTCCCAACGCAGCTGGAGACCCAGCTTACAAAAAAAGTAAGGTGGCCCAAACAAACCGTTCTTCAAGCTGGCCTAACCTGGCCCCAAAGAAACTAGTGTTTCAAGCCGACCATAATTGGTCCAAAGAAAGCTGGTGCTTTTAATCAGAGCTGATCGATGTTGTTAAAAAAGAGGCTCCTGTGCCAGCCGATCAAATGTGGTCCCAAACAGCATGGTGATCCTTGCGGAGTTGTCCTCCAAGATAAGCTGATTTGGTTTCAGATGGTCTGAATTGGTACCAAACTAAGACGCATGTCCATGTTGTCTTCTCCAAGCTTCGCCAGGTGGTCCTTAGACTGCCACCGCTTCCACCTCGTCGCCTTTGTCGCCACTCGCTTGGTTGTCCAGACCGATGCGCTCTTCAAACGTCGTGCATGTTGAACCATTGACGTAGTGGGGATGAGTTTGATAACGTCTCCTCTGAAAAATAGACCGTAAGGAATATATAAAAATTGTTTTGTCAAAAACAGTTAATGGTACTATTAATCATGCACATTCTTTCTTTGTGAGTGAGTTGGGTTTTAAGCAATATTTAAGCAATATCACGGCGGGGGACACCAGAAATGGGTTTCCCACGTGGGGAACCGAACCCCAGCTCTCTTCGAACCACTGGGCTACCCCAACACCCCTTTAGACATGAAAGTTCTTCAAGTAACGAATGTCCATCAAACTAAGATACCCCACCGAAAATATCGCAACATCCTGCTAATCTATAGTAACAAATTTACACCCAGCATGTTAAAGCACTGAACTTAATGTATGTATTCCTACATAGGTTACATTAAATCAAAGAAATTTAAGATAATGTGGATTTATAAAACTAAATATACAGCAGTAAATCTAAGCGAAAATACATTTTCCGCATTCACGCCACAGCTCTGCTAAAAATCCAATGTAATATTCCAATATATCCTAAGTATGCGTGTATATCTCTCAAATAGAGGTGATACCAGAACTCAAAGAATGTTGATTCATCAATCGTTTTAAGGTAAATGTGATGTATGCAAGATCAACCAGTGTGTCAATTGTTGCTTTTGAGAACTTAGTAACCCGCTACAACGACTAAATATATAGCGCTCAAACCACCGTCTGGTTTTCAGTCGCTTTTAAAGGATTCCATTCTGATCTACTGAATGTAGAACAATTATCAGCCTTAACAAGGATGGCGCAGGTAGACCAATGATAATGTAGAGCAACCAGGTCATCAGGTAAAGGTGCAAACTGATGTAGATAGTAAAGATCTCAGCATCCTAGATTGTCAGGTGCATTAGCACTCCATTCTGATAACCCTTGAAGATCCGGGTTGGAATTGGTCTTCAACGAGCCATGCCTGTCGTAAGAGGCGACAAACGGGATCGGGTGGTCAGGCTCGCCAATTGAGTAGATCGATGCTCATGATGTTGATCACTGGATTGTCTGGTCCTGACAGACTTATTTACACACCGCCGCCATTTAACTGAAATAGTGCGGCGTTAAACAACAAAAACTAACAACAACCTTTCTGATAATGTCCTGGATCACTGCGCCATTCTGTGTCCATTTTGGAAGTGACGTCACCCTTTCAAAATCGCTTATTTTCTCAGCGCAGCCTTTATATCGGCCCGGTATGTAATTGGACTAGGTGACCATTCGCGTCAATCGAATCTGATTTAAACAGGTAGCACCTGAGGCGAGGGCATAACGAATACTCTGGATGATTCTGGGAAGAGTTTCTTTTACCATACGAAAAGAGGCCAAGAGACTAATTTTGAGCAATGCTAATAAGCCATGATGTCCAAAGGTTGCTTCTCTATTAGATCAGTATCGACAGCATTCTTCGTTTATTTGATTTTACTCAATTTGCACTCATATTTCCGCGACCCTCGCTTTAGTTAGCTTCAAATTGACCGTAATTATACTACCCCAACCAATAACTCGTAGGCTATGTTAACCAGTGCATAATTTAGGTCAAGAACCGTTGCAAAGAGAGTTGAATTAATTTTGGTAACATATTATGTTGCGATGCAGTCTTCAGATTGTGTATCAGAAGAATTCCATTTGTTTTTACTTAACATCTGTTTGTTGTATTACTTGTTTGTGTGATTGTTTGTTGTTTAGCGCCTGATTTCAAATATATCAAATCTGAGCAGTTTTGGCGCCCGTCACTCGCATGGGACTTGCCTTCGTGTGGCTCTGAGGGTGGAGAAACGTGACGACATCAGCACATGTGACACATGACGTGACAGCTAAGACACATGGCTTTCAGTCCATAGTAACCTCAGAACCCAGTGGTCGATGTACGAAACATGAGAAGGACCTGCAACGTGAAAACCTGCCGTAAATCGGGTTAACTCCGGCTACCCGGCGTCGACCCTGTGAATGACAGGTGACTTCTGAGGATACCACCAGTTAGCCTAGGGAACCAGCTTTACGTCGATGTGGAACATGTGCTTGGTTTGTGCATATTCAACGTCCCAGCAACGTTTAAACGACGGCACCCAACGTGTCTGACAACTGCAGCTATTTGAACCTGCACCACACATTGTACTGTTGACATCATATCGGGATACGATGACATGTGTCAACCAAGTCAGCGAACCTTACCACCCGATCCCGTTGGCCGTCTCTTACGACAAGCATGGGTTGCTGAAGACCTACTCACGCGTTTTGCTCAGCCGAACATTCGGCCGTCAGTCGTAGAACCGTGTCAGAATCGTAGTACCGTACGTTCATGCTGAAGACCAATTCTTATCCGGATCTTCATGGGTCCAATGATTTATCATTGTTAAAAATAAGTTGTAAATTGTAAAATTCCTTGTTTGCCATCTAATATAAAAAGGGTGTGTGTCTTGTAAAAGCGGGACAATTCCTTGTTTGCCATCACAGAAGTATGCATAGGTTAAAACTCTATCAAGATTAGGTAATCTGATTGTACGGGTGATAATTCAATATATGGCAATCAAATCTACGAATTATTGGCATTCTACAAATGTTACTCGCGATAACACACAAGTTCATTTACTACAGCGTTTAGCTAACTGTGTCAGTAAGGGCTAAGCATTTGTTGAGTAATACATGTTTAACAAAAACATCCTGGTGTCTGTATAAAGTGTTCTGTTGTTTATACAACATTGTGTATTGATCAGTGCTGCTTTAAGGGAACTTAAAGACAGCCTTTCGGTTAAGCATATATGCACTCGGAGGATTTATTGATGTTTTGAGGCTGGCATTTCCTCGCAAGCCTCCTAACAATACAATGATCGATAGTGTTTACAAATCAACCGTTTCTAAGCTTAGCAATGAATGATCAACCCAAGTGATTATGAAAGTGAATACAACATTCTGTTCAAGAAAAGTCCATTAAAAGCCTATTTTGTGGGAAAAGGTAATTGTGTTACTCTAAATTGAATATGAAGACGAGCTTATGCAATGCGGATTACATGTATTTAACAAACGGCACTAAACTTATAGACCAAACAACTCCTCAGTAGATTAGGTACTCAAAGGAGTGAATAAATTGTGTTTAACGTCGCCCTGAGCAGCAATCTATTAAAATCATCATGGCGCGTTGGCTTGTGCGTGGGGAACCCAAAGCGACGGTGATCATAGGCCTATAGCGCTGCTGTTGGACCTATGGGGACATATGGAGCAGGAAACCTCGACTTCTCGGGACGAATTATATCCAAAATGATAATGAAATGTACCAAATATAAAACTGTGAATGGTTTCTTGGAACTATAAAGACCATTGACTAGACAAACACCGTTGTGTCGAACACTGTCTTGACGAACATACAGCTGCCTCAAAGTATAAAATTGGTGCCTTCGTATTCTTTCAGTATTTATTTATATTTCGGTTGTGTCGAACATCGGATAACGCGAATTATTAACGTGGTCCCTTCAAGTTCGACTCAACCGTATTTACTGCACCGTGCCTCTTCGACAGGATAGCCAAGAGGTTTTGCATTCATTAAAGATGTTGGTTCAATTCTCATGCTTGGTGCCTTCGTATTCTTTCAGTGTTTATTTATATTTCGGTTGTGTCGAACATCGGATAACGCGAATTACTCGCGTGGGTCCCTTCAGCTTCGACTCAACAGTATTTACCGCATCGTGCCTCTTCGACAGGATAGCCTAGAGGTTTCAGCGTTCGTCCTCATTAAAGATCCGGGTTCAGTTCCCAACATCGATACAAGCGAAACCCATTATAGTATCTCTTGTCGCGATACTACCTTGATGCTGAACAATAACAGCGAACAATCACGCACACTCTAAGACGCGAGGGATGTTATTTCCTTATTAAGAGAAAACCATCCACAGTGGGGTTTACCGAGGATCTAAATGGGATCTCCACGCTAGCCAAGTAATCCTGACATCTACATCCAGGGAAAATTACAGTGATAATATCTACTTCAGTGTCAGCCATTTACACCGACCTTTCGCTCCACGCCATAATTGACAACCCCTAATTGACAATCATTAAACTTTGATCAAAGAAATTCGGGTTTGTCGTGTTTGGGTCGCGCGTTCCTTGGGATTGCCAAGCTTCCGAGCAGGGAACCAGTATCACCCAGTGGCACGTAATGACGGCGCGGATCGGAAAATGAGGTTAAAACAATTTACAACCGTGTACGTATAAGGTCCTGAAGGCGAATAAGCCTTTGGTCCAATTAGGCAGCAGAAAAATCAATAGCACTGCCCAACGAAAAGCCGTGTTCGCTTATAAGGCAATGGCCAAGGATTCACAAAACCAAGACCTCAAGGCCAAAGATGACACGTTTCTGCCTAAAATGTAACAGTTAAGCTTGGGGCAATGGTGGTTAAGTGAATTTGTCTCCCTTTGTCCAAAATCGTAAGCTTTCTAAGCTATAATCAATGTTCAGAGTGGCAATTTGTCTCCAGAAGACTGCAACCGCGGGTCATGATACCTTGGTCTTCAAACGTATTTCTTAGGTAGATGACAGTATGATTTTGGATTCTGTTTGTTTGTTGTGCCAAAATAACCAATATTCCAATCACATGACGGCGGTCTGTAATAATCAAATTTGAACCAGACAATCCAATAACCATCATGGGTATCGATTCACGCAACATGGAAACCATGACCTTCTTCAAAAAATCGACTGTGCCTGATCGCCCGATCCTTTCAATAGACGCAGGTTGTTGGGACCCTATATTCATACCCGGAAGTACAGCGATAGGGGAGTGAGGTACCACATTCTAGATTTCACCGCACAGATGACAGGATATTCTAACAAAACGTGCCCAAAAGAAAACAGGATAAAACAAAGTGTAAGCCTTACTCACATCGTGAACTTTCTTTGAAAACAATAAAAGTGACAGAATCCTTCCCGCACATCAGCTTTTGTATCTCTCTATGTACTGATTTGTATGGAGATTTGGAATCAAGAACAAACGAAGAGGGTACTTTTTTGGGTTAAA